AGAAATATCTGTAAATTATTTTTTGCAAATAAATTCGCAAAAAAAATTTGTGAATATTTTTTTGCAGGAAAATTCGCAAAAAATTTCTGCAAATATTTTTTTGCAAGAAAATTTGCAAAAAATTTCTGCGAATATTTTTTTTTAGGAAAATTCGCAAGAAAATGACACTTTTCTAGTAGTGATGTCATTTTTTGAAAAATTGAAGATTGCAATATGTTAAAAAGAAAAAGACTTAAACCATTTCAAAAGGACTTAAAATTAATTATTTTACTTTTTTCACAATAAAATATTCTAAAAAGGACTTAAACTAATTTGTGAAAACAAATATTTCCCTGATACAAATTAGAACATATTTAAAGGGGAAAAAGGAGGAGTACATCATGTGAATTCTCTTTAGACTTTCACATTTCTCCTTCTAATCTTGAAGATCATTGATGTTAAAGATTTTGGTAGCAATTGCAACAGTTAGGGAATGGAATAATGACAATTTCAACTACATTTTTCTTCTTTTCTTTTTTTGTTAGTTGGCTCTTATGAAAATAAGTAGCTAACTCTTTTTTTTTTTGGAATGTTAGATAAAACTTATTGTACTTTACGTGACTCTTGATATTTATATATGTCAAGATCTTTTTATTATTTTTGTGGTTTCATTCCCGTTCATTTACGTTTTGACCATTTAAAAATTGATTTTGGATTTAAAATTTGATTAAAAAATATTTTCTAAATCAAAACTTGAAATGAACCATATCTATTAATCTAAGTTGCTAGAAATAGAGTTTAGAATCGTAGTTTAAAAAAAGTTTTTCTTAATTCAAGTGTCTCTCTTAAATATGTAAGAAAATAATATTCAATAGAAAAATCTTAGAATCTCTTTATCAAGGAATTAGTATCGAATGAATTTAAGGTCACTAAGAAGTATAAAAGTGAAATTTAATTCTAAGAATCTCATATTCAAATTTCTCTAACTTTTATCTACATGTTTGTCACTTGTCTATTTATATATATATATATATATATATATATATATATATATATGAGGAAGGATCTGTTTACTCCAAGAATAAGTCTATCGAAATTTATTTCATTTAATAACTCATACTCTATATCAAATCTCAATTATCCAACCATTGCATTTTAAATTCTTAACGTATTGATCAAATCTACAAATTTTTTAAAAATTTAAAAATCATTTGATACTTTATTTTATTAATTCAAATTGACAGATAACATGTCAATTTGAATTAATGAAACGAAGTATCAAATAATTTTTAAATTCTTTTAAATTTTATAGATTTGATCTATACATTAAAAACTTAAAATTCGACAGTTAGATTGTTGAGTTTTAATATAGATCATGAGTTATTGAACGGAATAAAATTAAATAGACTTACTCCTAGAGTAAACGAATCTTTTCTCTCTCTTTATATATATATATATATATATATAATATTTTTCTAATTTTATTAAAAGTCGATTAAACAACATGATTAGCAAAGC